ATAACATATTATGGATAACATTGCAAAGAATGGGAATTCCAGAACACTTAATTGTGCTCATGAGGAACCTGTACATAGATCAAGAGGCAGTCATTTGAACAGAACAAGGGCATACTGCGTGGTTTAAGTCAGGAATGGTATGAGTCAGGGTTGTATCCTTTCACCATACTTATTCAGTCTGTATGCTGAACAAATAATCTGAGAAGCTGGGCTATATGAAGAAGAATGGGGCATCAGGTTTGGAGGAAAACTCATTAACAACCTGCAATATGCAGATGACACAGCCTTGGTTGCTAAAAACGAAGAGGATTTGAAACACTTATTGATGAAGATCCAAGACCACAGCCTTCAATATAGATTACACAGCAACATAAAGAAAACAAAAATCCTCACGACTGGATCAATAAGCAACATCATGATAAACAGAGAAAAGACTGAAGTTGTCAAGGATTTCATTTTACTTGGATCCACAATCAACGCCCGCGGAAGCAGCAATCAAGAAATCAAAAGACACACTGCATTGGGCAAATCTGCTGCAAGAGACCTGTTTCAAGTGTTATAAAGATGTCACTTTGAGGACTATGGTGTACCTGACTCAAGCCACAGTATTTTCAGTGGCCTAATGTGTATGTGAACGATGGATAATGAATAAGGAAAATCTAACAAGAATTGACACCTTTGAATTATGGTATTGGGGAAGAATATTGAATATACCATGAACTGCCAGAAGAATGAACAAGTCTGTCTTTGAAGAAGTACAGCCAGAGTGCTCCTTGGAAACAAGGATGGTGAGACTTTGTCTCATGTACTTTTTACATGTTATAAGGAAGGACCAATCCTTGTAGAAGGACCTCATGCCTGGTAAGGTAGAGAGAGGGTCAGCGAAAAAGAGGAAGATCCTCAACAAGATGGATTGTCACAGTGGCTATAACAGTGGGCTGAAACATAGCAACGATTTTGAGGATGGCGCAAGCCTGGAAGGTGTTTCGTTTTGTTGTACACAATGTCTCTGAGTCAGAACTGACTTGATGTCATCTAACAACAGCATGTGGTTTATTGACTGTCTCCCCAACTAGCATTGCTACACCTCTAGTTCTAACAGCAGGATTTAGCACATAATAGCTGCTCGATAAATATTTACTGATAAGTGATTTGTACCACCGGCACTACCATTTGCAGTTATAAGAGACTGGGCTGACTGGCACAAAGATTTTCCTTCCCCCATGGAGACACAGTCTGGGTGATTTCTGTTACCTTCTCATATTCTGTTTTCTGCTTGAGAACCTCAGAATTGTTAGACTTACCTGTTCGTTCTTCTCCTTCCCTGAAGGAACTATATGAACTAGGGAAAATTGTTTATGTTTTCTTGGTCTCAGTATACTATATTAACTAAATATATCAACTAAAATATACTATTTTAACTCTTTAGTGTTGTGTTTTGATTAAATGAGATAATATAAACAAAAAGCACTTAGCACAGTATATGGCATAATTCGTATTTGAAAATAATTTGTGTAATAGTTCTCTTCTGTGTCCTTCAGAGTTAGAAACTTTAAGGAAAATCATTTAGATGACAACACAATGATCCAGTGAGGTGTAGTGAGGTAGTAAGGACACTGTGAGATTTGTCCTCAGGTGGGGCGGGGGAAGAAAAAAAAGTGAAGTCTCTAGTTTTCTAATTCAGTGTGAATATAAACATACTAAAGTAGTTCATTCTCCACACCATTCAACTCCCTGCCATCTTCTCCCTGGTTGCCCCTTATCTGGAGAAATTATGCTGGTCAACTGCTGAGCATCTCGTGGTTCTAAGGGTAGGTAACTTTGTAAAGATTTCTTCAAATAAAGTATTCAGTTCCCTTCTTCAAATAGAATGTTCTGGCTTTTTTAATGTCGCTATTTCCCAGCCACAATATGACATCTGGATTTCTGTCTACCTTGATCACTGCTAGGCAGTTAATTATAGTCTGGCTAGTAGATGGACCAGTCCTTGGGTCCCAGCATGTTCAGAGGTATAGTGAAAGAAAACCAAAGTTTCTATAACAAACTATTACGGTTTTTCACAGCCCACCCTTATCCTAACTTGTGTTCCAGATTATGCTTAGTATACTAGGAATTGCAATTTTGTCTAATTGTATCCTCTGGGTGTCACTAGTGGTAGTTTTTTTCCAGTCACCTAAATGAATATCAAAATAAGGTCCACAGTATAAATATGTTATCTACTTCAAGTTACCTAAATGGCCACTGTATTTTTACGCAAATAACACGTGCCGTGCCTTCTACATTTGTTTGCCAACTGCTATCACCTCCCTCGAAGTATTTTCATAAGCACTACTATGCCAATTTCCTTTTTTTTACATGTTACTGTAGAAAAAAAATTGCCATAGCATGCTTATGAAAATACCTCATGGGGAAAGGGAGTGGTTGGCAAACAAATGTAGAAAGTTTGAGTTATTTTTTAAAAATACAGTAAGCCTTTTTAAAGTCCTTTAAATCAATCAAATTAATCATATAGACAAATATGCTTTTCATAGTTACATTCTAATCATTAATTATAACAAAATAGTTGAAGGATAAAAGATTAGAAATACATAATCACTATACAAAGATGCTTAGGAGTCTCAAGAAATATGCATAATGTCAGATTCCTTACACAGTAACTGTTTACAATGCTTTGGTAATTCTTGTGTCTTTGTTTAATACTAGATTTTATTCTCACTGCCTCTTGCCATACTTCTCTTCTCCCAATGGCATAGGAGGAGCAGATGCTGACATCATTTGTAAGAATGCACACTGAGATGAGACGAGGTAGGGTGCAGTTATAGTTTTGTTGTTGGTGGAGTTGTTTTATTGTTGTTTGCTTTAGGAGGCAGGTGATCATTGGTAAGTGCTAGAACCATCTGTTGACAATTTTCTGAGGCCTTACTTAGCATATTAAGAAATGTAGAGCTTGAACAGTTGATTGGAGTGCCCCTGTTGATAAACTAAGCTTGAACAGATATACTTTTGAAATAACAGATTTACTTTAACAGCTATTTCCCACCAAGTCAGGAGGGGAAACAGAAGCATCTTAAAGGATTTGTCTCCTTTTCTAATGTGTACTAGCAACTTCTGTTTCTGTTCTCACCTTTTTTCCTTCTGTTTACCTTTCTCTAAGCATATCACTCTGCAGGGTTACTCTGTGTCATCATCTCTGCTCTGTCACTTGCATTAGTTTTGAAAGATAGCTGAGGTTAGTACCTACAGATTTTTAAAACAGGCAAAGGAGAAAGTACTGTTAATCCTTTCAACCTTGTGGAATTCCTCCCATGCTTTGATCATGCTGCGGTTGTGTGTGTGCGCATGTGTGTGCAGGTATGGACATGAGTGTGCGTGTGCACGTGTGTGGGTGCACATGCAAGGGGTAGGCAGGAGTATTGCATGACTTTATGGAATGCCATTTCATGAGATACTTTCCCATTATTTGGTCATGACATGAAAATATTTGAGAACTCTTGGTTAAACATCAGAAATGTCTGCTCTGATTAGTTGCTGATTATCCTCAGTGGTGAGCATCTGGCTTTGCTTCTTAAGCTCTGGACTGTGACTTAGGAACTGTGTTTTAATGTTCACGAGTCCATCTTCTGTTATGGATGCCAAATGAGCCACCATCCATAAAATGCAAATAATAAACTGAACTACACTGGAAAGTAAAGAACAGTAATAAATTTTTCCCATCATTCTGAAGTGATATAAATGTGTAATAAATTATGGTAGAGATCATGGTGGAAGGAATACATTCTGAGAACTTAAGAAGATATATTTAAAAAAAAAATTTTTTAGATTACTTTGAATCTGATTTGTTTGGCAATTAATCCTTTGGGTGTATGTATGCATATGTTTGTATTAATACTATTGAGCCAAAAAAAACACACCAAAAACCAAACCCACTGACATTGTGTGGATTCCGACTCATAGCGACTCTATAGGACAGAATAGAACTGCTCCATCGGGTTTCCAAGGCTGTACTTTAGGGGAGCAAACTGCCACATCTTTCTCCCATGGAGCGGCTGGTGGGTTTAAACCACTGGCCTTGCGGTTACCATCCAAACACCAGTGGTTCCCAAACTTTTCACTATAAAGATTCTCCTATCCCCCCAGCCATATAAATCTCATGTTTAAAAGATTTTGTTCCCTCCAAATTTTATTTATCAATAATAAGGAATGTGTTCTTCTATTAAGATAATCACTGTCAGATTTTATGGTTATCATATAATAGCTACTATTACTGTGTTACAACTTGAAACAGAGAAAACAAATTTAACATTTTTGGTAATCAGTGTAGGCTAATTGTGGGTAAGTTTATGGTCTCGGTGAAAGAGTAGACATAACATAAACATCTTTTTTTCTACACTTTAGGACATCCAGGAATCCGTGAACAACAGACTTGTAACAACCTGATAAAGTTTTGATAAATTCAGCTTTAGATGTATGGTTTCTAGGCAAATGTAGATCTTAGAAAATTAGAATATAATATTACTCATATTTTTAAAAATATTTGGGTCACTTATTCCAGCAAAGAAACTACAAATAATAGAAACATTTTGCATGTGGATGTTATTTACAAAGAGAAACAAAATACTTATAGGCGAGTCCAGAGAAAACATCTTTTATAGTGATCTGGTGGATTTAGTTTGTGTTGTAAATGCCTCACATTTACATAATTCCCCCTTCTTTATGCCTACTGATCTACAGCTGAGAACAATGGAGTGGCCTTTCTTTTCTTTAGGAGGAACATTACTACATAAATTATTCAAAAGAGGTATCTTTAAATTAAAAAATATGTATAAAGTGTAATTTACCAAATTGCTTGTTACTTCTAAATAATACTTTTCCATTATTCATCTATTTCGAATGTTAATTAAGTTCTGTAACAAACTGGGGGGTGGAGTGGGGATGCATTGAAGAAATCATTATGATTCCAAGTCAAAACATTAAATGCCAAATAATATTTCTTTCCCCAGAGACTGGATCCCCAATTACAGCTTCATGCGTTGGATTAGGTAGTTCTAAAACACCTCCACCAGGGCAAGCAGGAAAAAGTGTTCCAGGATACAATGGTAAGAAATGACCTTGGTTATTTGAAATATGTAATGTTAATAGATTTGGTAATTTCCTGTGTCAAGTGCCTATCATATTGCTTGGAATATACTAGGTGCTTAAAAGGAATTTGAATAAAAATAAATATTAAAAATAAATGCATTAAGTTTTGCTATTAGTCAACATGAACAAAAGTAAAGTTGTAGACTTCCAGGGAGACATTTCAAAGAGCTGTCATAACAGTGGAAATAATATTATTTATAAGGCAAGTTTAGAATATGGGCTGTGAAATTAATACATATGGAATACCTACTAGGTGCTGAGTGCTTTACAAATGTCATTTAAGGTAAGGATGAAGTATTTAATTCAGAGCTATTATTACCATTTTAGAGAGGGGTGCAGTGATTAAAGCACTCAGCTGCTAATCAAAAGGTCTGCAGTTCAAACCCACCACCTGCTCTGCAGGAGAAGGATGTGGCAGTCTGCTTCTGTAAAAGATTTAAAGACTTGGAAACCCTATGGGGCAGTTCTACCCTGTCCTATAGGGTCGCTGAGTCGGAATGGACTTGGGGGCAGTGAGTTTGGTTTGGGTTTTATTTTTAAATAACTTTCTTAAGGTAACACAGCTAGTTAGGTCTGGAGGGCAATGCAAATCATTGTGTTTTATTTTGTTTGCTTGTTTCCACTACAAAAGCTGTATTTCTTTTTTTTTCCATTACATATACTATCTTTTAGTTTAGGAGTGATGATAAGACCTTTGAGCCTTGTTGGCAAAAAATTAACAGTAAAGGTTCTAGAAAGAAAAATCATTTCATTTATGCTGGCTGTATATGACAAAGAGATATAATAGCTCTTCAATATTTGTTTTTAAATTTATGGTAGAATGTATAGCAGTTAAATAATTTCCCTTGGACTCTACTCCTTAGTTATATAAACTTATACAAATCATCTAACTTTCCAAATAATCAGTTTCCATATTTCTAAATAGGAATAATAATTCTATATGTGCCTTAGGGTTGCTATATTGCAATGTAACCCAAGGAATCATTAACATAATGCCTGCCAGTAGAAAGAGTGATCTAAATGTTAGCGGGTGTTGCTACTGATATTTCAGAGAAGCCAAAGAGACTGACTTGATTTAGGCTCATACATTCATTTTACAGACAAGAAATGAGGCACGGAGGTTACGTTATTTGCATAAGGTCACACAATTTAGCTTAATAGATTTATTATGGAAACCCAGCTTTGGGGGACAGAATGTGATTCCTAACAAAGATTTCCTAGTTGCATGTAAATTGTGAAATTTAGAGATTTCTGTTCTGCATCTCTAAAATTAAAAAAAAAAAATTCCTTCTGGGACAATGACTACTTAAGGAAACATGGATGTTTTAGTTTAGTTTAGCTTAACAAATATATTTATACAGAAACACTTAATTTTTTTTTTTTTTTAAGGGCAGAAATAGGTATTCTGTGAAGTCAGTGACTTCTCTAGTCCTGGTCAGGGGAAGGTGAACCCGGCTTTGGGGAAATCCTTCATTTGAACAGTTCTGTCATCCCGGCTGCTTTTACCGGCACAGTTGCTTTTGTGTTGAGACATTTTAGGGTTAATTGTGGGAAATGTTAAATACGTTTTCTTTCAGTATTTCAGTAACATTTTTATATCTGGTTGTAGGAAGGAGTTAAGCTTTGATTCCTCGTGGCACTTCAGTACAGAAGTTTCTCATTGTCGCAATTCAGTGCCATTGATTCTTACATTCTTCAAGTTGGGCAGCCATTCTCACCCTCCTTTACTGAGTCATTCCTCCACCATTAAAATAAACTCACTGCCCCCTAAGGTTCTTTTCTAATCTTTAGAGTTACTGTTGTCAGTTTGATCTCATATAGATAGATCTCAAAATAGAGTTTTAAAACAAAGAGCTCTGGAAATACAAAGAAGGGAACAAAACAACTGTTTTCTGGAGAGGGGATCCTTGTCTTCTTTTCTCATAGCTTCTTGCAGTAGAATTACCTGGATGGATGAAGCTATATAAAGGATCTATTAGAGCTTAGAGGACAATTTACCTTCATATTCAGTATGCACTAAGGGTACTGAACAGATAAAACCTTGATCTCCTAAATAAAGTGTTTCAGGATTTTCTCAGTGTAGCATAGAAAACATTGGGATAATGTTTGGGTAGATTAAATTGACCTTTCAGAGCCATAAGTGAGCATTAAGACTTAAATCCAAATAAGTGGTTTTCTAGGCTTTTAAATGCTTCATTTTTATTGCTTGCAGTATTGTTGCAGGTATATTTTAAAGCTTTGTTTGTTTCCTTTCATTTTTGAAAAGCTGACATTTTTAAAAATGTCTTTAACAGAGTAGAATGGTGCATTTACATGGACAAAAACGTAGAGCTTGACATTACCAGCATGTTTGAAATATGAAATTTTTATTTAATAGACCTTCTGAAAGGAAATTGGTTATCTTTCAGGAGTCAAAAGTGTATGCTTTTTATGTTTTCTAAAAGATTTTGGATTGTTTACATTACATGTTCATGTCTCATAGGGATTAAACAATGCCTTGTTAAATCTAGAGTTTTTTGGAGGTTGAATTTAGAAAATATGGAAATATCTTTAAGCTTTAAATTGTGTATTTTTATTTTATTTATTTATTTATTTAACTTTGCAGTTATGGTTTTGGATGACAACATGCAAAAACTGAAGGCTCGGTCCTTAGGAAATATTGTGGTAAAGTAAGCAAAACCTATAATACTACTATTTAAAGGGGCAAATATTGGTATGTAATGTTAAAAAAAATTATAGTCATAGTACTGTTGAAGAGGTTGCACGATGAGCCCGTCTATTATTTGTGAATCCTGCCATCTCTATTACAATTTAAACACAGAGGTCACATGAAGTAGAATAAATTTAGCTAACAATTGTAAAAAGATAAACCTTGCATCTCTGTAAGCAATATATAGATAATAAGAGTAACTTTTACATCTATATACTATTTGTATAATTTTGTTATATATGACTTTCCACTTTCTGACAAACGTTTTACATTGTTGAAATAATACTGTTTATTCAATTTCATGTATTGCTGTTTTCCTTTAACGTTGTCTCATAAGCATTTATAATTTTTACTGTTCTCCTTAAAAATACTTTATCCCTATTATAGGCCTGTTAGTATTTTTTTTTTTAATTTTTATGATTATAAATAATGCTATACTGAACATCTATTCGTGTTGTCCTTTTCACCTTTTCTGATAATTGCTTTAGCATCAAATATATTTCTAGAAGGGTTAATAGGTCAAACAGTAGCAGAATATAAATTCCCTGACTTGCCAAACACCAGATGCATTATCATCTTTCATTATTGCTAATTTGATAAACAAAAGTGCTAAAATTTAAATTGAAAATATTCAATTTACTTTGATTAAATCCACATTTTAAAATTGTTCTGGGAGAAGGTGAAATGTAAGTTTATTAAGTTGGGTGATGCACAGTTTGTGACATTTTAATAATTGACAGTAAGTGGGTCTGATTAACATGATTTGACATCTTTACTAATATGATTTAGGTCGTAGAATTTTCTAGAATAATTTGCTATAAGTAAATAACATTACATGACAAGTCTTAGAAAAGATTTGTTTTCCTATTTATTACAATTAGAAGTTAAAAAGAACTCTTATTATCTTCCATTCTCAGATTGGTAGAAGATTGTCTTGGGTTAATAAAACATTTTAAAATCTTTGAAAGTTAAATGAGAAGCAGTAGTCAAAAAATAAAGCAATTCATTTCTTTAGATAGTGATACTGTGACCTTACCAAAAAGGTAAAGATACACAGTATGATGCAATTCTCAGATTCTTATGTTATCCGTAATCATGATAAGCAATACATTACTTTTTAAAAATTTTCAATCTAAAACACAATGTCCAACAAGATGGAAGCATTAAATATTGAATATACTATTTGTCTTTATGTTTCTCTGAATCAGAATCCATATTAACACATAGCTGGTTGAAATTTGATCTGTTGCAGGGAAAACAGGAGGAAGGGTTTGCTAAAGAAGTTAATAATATGAACAAGATTGTGGGTGGATGTTTACCTTGCGTAGGTGTGCACACGATTTTGAGAGCTTTTAAAACCACCGTAGCTGCATGTGTTCTTACATATCCCTCTGACTATAAGTAGGTCACGAATTTTATAAAGTCACTCTTGCAAGACCTCAATAATAGCATTTGAGCCAGTCTGATTTTAAGCCCCTCATGGGTCCTGTCACTTTAATTATTGATGACTTCACCCTACACTCACTGAAAGATAATCAAATACAGCAGTATCCCATACCAATTATAATTTCTTATTGTTGACAGTAGTGTTATTCAGATACTTGAAAATAACACAACTGTTGCTTTAAAGAATTCTGTAGTTTAGTTTGTCATCAATTCCAAATAATTTTCTTCCCTCTGTATTCCTAAATAGGGAATTTTATTGTAAAGATCTTGGGTTCTGAGATTGCATTGCATATCACTTAGAAATGCAATACAACATAACATGCAGTACACTTTGATTCTGCCTTTAGGTTAGCGGGGAAACTGTATATTTTGGAATATTATAAATACTGTTTTAGAAAACTAAGGCAGAAATAATCCCCAAAAAAACAATGAATCACCGAGGTCTCTCTTTTCTTAAAGGAACTGTTCTTGAAATCTTTTTTCTGGAACTCATTTTTATCTGTGAAAGCAAGTATTTCTTATGTCCATAGCCTTTTAAAACACACATCCCAATAGCCATTCACACGTTAGCTCATCAACCTAAAAATTATTCACTAATCCCAGTGGCTTCCTGCAGTATGTGTAGGATGTTTTTATGTTTAATGTCTATCAGTAAGACTTGTTTATGTTGGTCTGTAACTGTTCAGCTGTTCTGAATGCCTTGAGGGGATACATCATTCATCTAAAATGGAAAAATGCCTATGAGTGCTTTTTAAAAGGACATAATAAATATGTTTAATTGAACTAAGGAGGTGGAGAAAGCAGACATTGACTTAATAAAAAAATTATTGTGGTTAAAAAATAAAAGTATGTAATTTGAGAGATGTTCATTCTTTCCATGTAGACCACATTCTAAAGAAACGCTATGATCTAAAAGCAGAGTCTGTTTCAGGGACCATCTGGATGTGTCCCCAGAACCATTTGGTGGCGTGTGCAAGATGTTTTACGAGGCACTGTATACACAGTGGTCAGAGTCTATAAAGTATCTGAGACTGAAAAATGTTTAAATGTAATGACCTTCCCAATATAAGAAATATAAATTTAAGATCAAAATGAATACGTGTTTAAATAAATATCTCTAAAATTTAACATCATAACAACTTCAGTGTCAAATTTAGACTCCATAAATTTTTCATTTTATTTGCAAATAAATTTTTGGTTGCATATTCTCACTTCCCATGATTCTTGAACTTGCAAAGTGATTGCTGATGAATTATAACCCATGGTAAACTGAATGTGTGGCTTCTTGCCAAATCATTTCAAAAGCAAAATGATAATTTATTTTTTAAGAAAAAAAGTTGTAGATTACATAGGATATGATCCTATTTTATTAACTTTGAAAGGATATGGGGTGAGGACACCAGTCAGAACAACTGAAATCCATGAAGGGTTTAAAGTTAAGCTGGCATCAAAAACCACCACCAAAGAGATAAATGTCCTCTCTTCTCAGTTATTTATGCTCATGCTTTTCTTTATTACTTTGTGTAATTACTATGTAGAATACTCTCTGAAAGAGCAGTACTTCCTAGTACCATTCATGTTCACTAATCATAATTTCAGTAATTATAAAAAATAAAGGAGAAATTTGCATGAGATATTTAAAATATACGGGCTCAGCCTATATTTAAGTATAAATCAGTAAGGAAATAATAACTCTTTTTCTTTTAATTCCCAATTTTTTTTGTTTGGTTTTTAGTATAGTTACAGCTTCTGGTTTTACTATACAATGTTATGAATAGTATAGATAAGTTGGAAACTATACTCTGGAAGTTTTTTTTTTTTTTAACTATAAAACTGTAATCGTATATCTACCCCTAATTAGATTCTAAATGCAATGATTCGTTGTACCATATAAAGATTGTTGACCCCAAAATCAGGAATAGTGATATGTGGAAATTAAGTATTCTCATGATCTAATTCATTTTTTCTACCTCTTTTCTGGAAGTCACTGCTTTGCTTCCCTGGGGATCTCTTAAGTAGAAGGTAGACATTTTAGTGACTTATAAACTACTCTATGTACTAGGATGTAATAAGCACAAATCCTGCATCCTGGGATGCATCCTGGGATTCACCTTTCTAGAATAGAACTCTTCATGTCTGCATGGATATTAGAAAATCCCTTTGATGTTGAAACCTACAGATGGTTAATTCAGTGGGAAAGTTATGGTCTCTGAAATGCCATGAATACAAAATGTTCATGAATTTTAGAAGGTGCACCTATAATTGCATCCAAAGTTCCAAAATGCAGAAATAAAACTGTGAGTTGGTAATTTCCAGGCATGATAGAGCAGAGCATAAAAGAAAATATAACTGCAATTGCTTCCCTCAGTATCACAATGCTCACTGTTATTGAAGCCATAGGTCTTTGACTCTTCTCTGGTGGTTTTCCATTTTGTTTTTCTGATGCAGTCTTTTGTTGCTATTGGATGTGTAGCTCGTCTGCGCCTTGCTCTGTTCCACTGACCTGTACTCCACAGGCAGGGGTGGGTGGGAGAGAGCTGAATGGAATTGTCGGAATGGCTTTTACTCTGGTGCCTGCCAATTTCTCATCCTCTAGGTATTGAACTCTTGGCCCTTAACGATATTTGTTCACATCTTTACAACTTTGCAGGACTGAATCAGTCACACTGTGCTACTATCTTGGGAGAGGGTCAGGACACAGTTCTTTTCATCAGCCTATCCTTTGAGTAAAAGCAAGTATATTACGTAATTTCAATCTCTTTCCTATCTAAGTCTCATATACAGGTTTTAGTTAATCTTTTATTACCCTCGCATCAACACAGTGAGATAGGTAGTGGGACAGATATTATCCTCCTTTAAGACGTGGAAAACTAAACATCGCTAGTGGTTATATGGCTAGAACTCAAATTTATTACTCAATCTTTTCTCTGCCCAGAGAGAAAAAAAATTACAGCCTTTCAGTCTCTTCTGGAGAGGTAGAAGCTAGCTTCATATGAAAATCTCAAAATCTAAGGACCCCATAGAAAATACTAGGAGTATAAAGTTGAGATCAAACTCCAGAATTCTCTCGGGAAGAGGAGTTATGTCTTCAATTTATTTCTGTTACCATAGGCATTCCTGATAAAGCAGTGAATACAGACCACATGGTAACTGGTAATTAGCTGCTGTAAAACTCAATGATAAAAAACGAGGCTACTTTTACCCTACGTCTTGAATATTTACATTTTGATGTTATTTTATTAACGTAATGGAGTAGGTACCATTTGCCATAGTCATGCTCCCAATCTTTTCTCTGAAACTACTGAATTTCTTGTAGTTTGCAATGTGCCAGGATCTCCATGATTCTGAGGCCACAGTTCATATTTTCATATTAATGCTTAGCACAGTGATGGAGGAATACGAAGCACCCAACAAACATAGATTGAATGAAGAGAATGAATGCATGAATTAATGCATGATTGAATAAATAAATTAAATCAATCCAAATAATTTGCTCAGGTGTTTTCTAATCTC